CCCCAAAACCCCAAAACCCCAAAACCCCTTACGGTTAGAGTAAAAATATTTAGGGAATGGAATTATTAAAAATGAAAGAGGACAATAAAAAAATAGTTTACACAACTCATTCTTCTACCATCTTCAAAGCAGTAATAAATAAGTACATTATTTAATATTTTAGCAAACTGATTCAGATCAAGAACTAATAGTACTCAAAAGCTCTGCATAGCCCATAGATACTAATAATCTTAACCTGATGAATATAGTGGATGTGAGCTCACCTAATATTTGAGAAAACAATTAAATTAACGTAAAATTGAATAACTTGATACAGTATTGATATTTTAGGTCTAGGAGAATATTACCTTGCACCTGTCTGATATCAAACAGCACTCGATTACAGAGTTGCCGAATGGGTCTAAGTTTTTGAAACATCCTAACTAGTTCAAGCTGAATCGAAATTCATCTCAGCAATTCATAAGATCACAAAATAGTATCATTAGTAATAATTTCAATCAGAACAAGTGACCCTAAGTGAAATAACTGCATAATGCTAGCAGTGAAAGCTAGCTGCCAGTAATAAACGATAATAGACTCTACTACCACTATAACACAGGGAATACCTCTAATATTCTAGCCTAATTTTCATAGTCTCAAATTGCTCCTTCATAAAATCAATCTATTTAGTCTCTGCAGCATTAATAGCACTCATAAATGCAGCAGCAGTTATTGCAGCCAATTTCTTAAAATTCTTAGATAATTGGAACGGGCTAAAGTTTGCTTATTCAGCCTTCACCAACCTAGGTAAGAATCCCTAACTAGTATAAGAAAGACCAGATACATCAAAATATATCTCAGTAAAGATAGAAGAGGATTGGGGTAAGCAAACCAAATTTGATGTTTATGGAAAAATCCATCAAGTTGCCAACTGAGTATCAGCCTAATGATAGTACTTAACTTCTATCACCATTCTAAATGATGGATAAAGGAATCACTTTGAACATGGAAGAGGAGCAAAGAATGTTCCAGCGATTCCTTAAGACCTTCAGTAATAGAAATTGGAATGACTTTGCAAACAAAATTTTGGAAAATGATAAAAATTTAGTCGTAAGTATAAATAATATTATCATCATTTAGAGAGAAATGAAATCCTAAGTCCAGTCTACTAAGAGCATGACAAAGACTTTATCTAGGAATAGCTTATTATCTTAGGGAGGAGGAGGTGGTGGAGGGACTCAACAAAAGTAGAGTAAGCACCCACAAACACAGCAATAATCTAATCTCAATCATTATTTAACTCAGTTTAACACCTTCAAAAGTCACTAATGGTCAAAGTTAAATCTGGAGTTAAATCAGAGTAGAGCACAGACGACTATTCAAAAGATGGTTGATGCTACCACTGCCAAACAAGAAATGAAGGAATGGCAGGATAAAATGAAAGAGTAAGAGACAATGATGGAGTATTACAAGTAGTCTCAGCAGTAGATAAAAGATAATAATATGGACTATGTTTAAACGCCTCCTGATATCACTATTGCATAGCATATTTCAGTATTATCACCAATAAATAATGTATAATATAGACACCAATGAATGAGTACTCAGTTTAGAGCCAGACTGACTAAATGAGATCCATGAGTCAGTAAAACAACAGTTAGTTTAGAAAACGAAAATTTTCAGATAGTCTTTAAGAATAAATCAATAGAGACTCAGTTGTGACCGCTGATTAAAACTAGCATGCCATAGAACACCAATTAAAGTATAAGAAATATCTGAAAAATACAGAGATAAACTAGCTGACTAACTCATTAAACTAGTTGAGCATGCTTTAGTCTATGAAATCTGTGAAGATTCTTAAGAAATTTGAATATCCTTCCACCATAGAAGCTATAGTAAAATATATTAAAGAGAAGGATTTGGATCTCTATGAATAGATTAGGCAAACTAAGAATTTAATAAGCCTAAGATTTGATAATTACTAAGATGATTAATAAAATTAAACTATAGATCAGAGGAGAAGTAAAACTAATTCACCAGAGAAAAAAGTAATAAAAGGTGAAGGGAAAGAATAGAAATTTAAAAGGAAATTCACAATGAATGAAAGAGAATAATTAAATGTACTTAAAAAATGGTAAATATTGTACTTCTTATTTTTTAAGGTTGGAATATATGATAGATAGTCATGTTAAACCAGAGGACCCTAAATACGTAAGAAGGCTATCTAACTCATAACTTATACTAATTTTTACTTTGAGCGATCTTAAAGACTAAGTAACATTTCAAATATTTTAATATCTTAAGTTATCAACTGAGGTTAGCGAGAGAGGAGAATTAGTCTAGAAAGTCCTAGCATTGTTTTTCGATATGTTCAGATCCTACGATATGTCCTTTGACAAAATCATCGAGTAAGAGTTGAATCTATACAAAGACGGTATTAAGAAGCAAGCAGCAATTAAAGATGCAAACTTGAAACAGAAAGAAAAAGAACTAGACAAAGCTATTAAGAGAGCATAGGAGATAGAATACATTCTATAAGATAATAACAATCACGTTTAAGCACTTATAGCTTAGCGAAAAGCACAAGAGATCAGATTTAAGGTGACTCGCAACTTGATAGACAATTTGATCTTCAGCTATAAGTAAAAGATCTAGAAGATTTATGCCAGGAATAGAGATCAAAGACTAATGGCGAGAGACTTTATATTTGAGTTAAAGGAACTTAAGAGATTCAGTGAAAAAGATGATAGGGATTTTGACAGCGATTTTGATAAAGAAGAGGAGGATAAAGTATTTTAGAATTTAAAGAAGAAGGTTAATAAGTGCACCTAAACAATTCAACTATTCAGGGTGAGATCATAAAAGGATATTGATGAGAATAAGCAAGCATCACAGGAGGGTTAAAGTGAAGATAATCCACAAGAGGAGTTATAGAAATAATAAGTAAAAGGGAAGAGAAAAAGAAAGCCAAGAAAGAAAAGAGTAAAGAAGTTGATAACTCTAGGTACTTAAATTCTAGAGGAAGGAGAAGCAGAATAAATAGTGGATATAGGCCTAGATATTAATGTAGACCTGGAGGGAGATGAAGATGATGAAAATTAATCTGATAATTCTGAAGGAGAGCAAGAGTAGAATAGTGAAGATGAGTAAAATTAAGAAGCGGAAGAAGAAATAAAAGAACCTGTAAAGCAAGAAATTAATCTATCAAACATAGATTCAGAAGGTAATGATATTGACGAGAAATCAGAATAGGAACTAAATGAAACTGAGTAGATGCAAATGCAAAAGGAAAATTAATATTTCAGGATCCTCGAAGAATTTGAACCTTAATAGATACTAGATATAATTGCATTCTATAACTATTAAACTGGCAAGGACTTGCTTGATAAAGAGCTGCAAACAGATTTCGAGACTAACAGCGAATCATTAATAAATTAGATAAATACTGACTCCAAAAATCTTACCGTCAATACTAAAGGAAAGAAATTTCACACTTTGAAAACACCTATAGTTGGAAAGAACAGGCAAGGTTTAGGAAAAGGAATGACTGTAGATACAAATATTATTGATGACTAAATGAGTAAAAATGATTTGTCAATGGAATCAGAAAACAACATGAATATAGGGTTTGCATAAATGAGTAAGAGATAGAATTCGTAGGGTGCAAACAATTTCTCCTCATTTAAAGGTCACGGGACGAACCAATAAAGCTCTAACTCTGGAGAGAGTCCAAAGAGAGGTATCTAGCACTCTATGACAGGAATATCTTTGGATGAGGCATTTGAAGATATCTAGAATTTAGACCTCAACGATCTAGATACCATGCTAGCTTCTGACAAGAATTACAAGAAAAAGAGTATGCAATTTCTATCTGGTTTGATAGGCTAGCTTAAGAAAACTAAAACGTTTAAAAATATGGTAGAAAAAACAGCCAAGGATTTAAAAAGAGAGGAGGATAAGAAAGATTTGATAAAGCAGGAGAAATGGATGAATCGCAGAAATGGCCAGATCATACCTGGGGGATCTCCAAGCAATCGCTCTTCAAATTTGAGTCCTTTGTACAAAGATAAAAATTAATCATTTGGAAATTCTCTCGCAGTCTAGAATCATCCTTAAAGCACAAAAGTGTCTCCAATGAATAGCAAAAATTAAAGACTAATGGCCAACTAAAATAATAATAGCAACAATAACCAAGGAAATAATAATGGCAATGTCATCATAGAAGAAGGATCCTCTTAGTCCTCTGACTCTGACAGGGGCATTAGTAAAAATAAGAAAAATGCTCAAAGATCAAATTAAAAACAGAAACCTACCACTAATCAAAGTACTACTAATTCGAGATTTAATGTGAATAAAAAGAAGATAGTCCCTACTAAGCCTTAACAACAACAGACTATTTCCAATGATAAGGGTATTTAGGTTGGCACTTATGTTGTAAGTGAAGCGTAACAGCCAAATTAGCATATGAAAAACTATTCAATAGACAGCATGTAGGATCCTCAATAAATTCCACCTCCATTTGTAAATATCTAAATCAATCCCTATGATGACCCTAACTCTCCTGCTAATAAACCTACAACTGTAGTGGGTAAATTGGGCTTTATCCTAAGGCAGAAAATTGAAACTTAGCTTATGATTTAAAACCCTCAGCTTTATCAGTAAAGGTTATAGTCATAAATGACTATGAGTACTCAATAAAATGGAACTATTCCGATGCCTTTCAATCTAGGCTAAAGTCGTGCAAGAAAGCCATTAGCAACACATCCAATGTCTAAATTCTTACCGACCTTTATTGAAAAGTTTTCATGCAACGATAAGAAGTTCTTAAATGTGAATTAGATATCAATCAAACAGCTTCTCAAGTTCATTCAAAGCTTTTACCAAGATAAGTACAACACAGCTAGAGAGTCTTTAATAGTTAAGCATTAAGCAATGAGTGACTTTGTCTATGATCAGCTCTATGTAAGTTATAATTTTTAATTTCTTATTAACTTATCAGAATAAGTATGGAATCGCTAATATCACAGAGAAGAAGTTGAAAGAGATATTCTTAACAATTAAGTTTAATCAATAAAAGAATTATACAGTCGAATTCTTTGGAAAGTTCTTGGGGCTAGATTCTCAATATTTCTCAAATGATGATCTTTCATTTTTCTACAGAATGAACAGACTTATGGTTTTTGGGTAAGATTTTAATGATAATAATAATTTATTCAGTGATTGCTTCTAGTAAGCGATAAGGAAAGATATCAACATTGATAGTGCAAATATCATTTTCTAAAATTCTTATGAAGTATTTATTAGCTATTTCCAGAAGAAAGTCATGCTTAAGACCTTTCCAAAGATCTAGGAGGAGTTATAAATTAAGGTGAAATAATTTGCTAAATTACCAGCTCCAGGCACTAATGGACCAGTACTCGTAACTTCTGAGAAATACTTTGGAGTTTTGATAGAGGTTTATAGAAATATCAAGTAAAAAATATTCGAAAATATCAAAGAAAGAAACAATGGAATAATCACTGAGGATGATGTGTATCCAGCATGCTTCTAAGAGAGATTACTCGACTTTGATGAGTTTAACAGATTACTGATAGCACTAAATGGTAAGAAGCAAGACGCAGCTGGATTTATTGAGGTGATCCCCATATTGTTTGAAAGAGGCAGATTGTATAATCAATAGAATCTTAAGGAGGAGGAAAAGAGGATTTAATTAGAAAATGTGATATCTATTGTTTTCAAGCATGATTTAGTACTGATTTGACTATATTTTAAGCATATTTGGAAAGGTGAGATTCAATACTGACTAACTTTAACTGTAAATTGATTAAGATTTCATTAACATTCAAATTTGAATGTCTCGGGGTTTTGGGGTTTTGGGGTTTTGGGG